CTTTAGGGACTGTCTTCTGCAGAAAAGGCCTTTGGTCATAACACCAGGCACCCCAGGCTGCCTGAGTGACCTTTGGGACTCAGGGGCCCAGTGCCATCTGGCTGACCCTCTGGATGGGTCTTTGGGGCGAATACTTAATTCCCTCCACCCAGGTAGGGGCCTGACCATGGTGATTCCACTGAGAATAGGATCTGGAGTCTGTGTAAAAGTRGCTGCCTGCCTGCTGGCCTTTTCACCTGAAAACCAGCCTCTGCCTGTGCCCTTATGTCCTCAGCCCAGGCTGACCTCAGTCTTGCAAACAGAGGGCTAGACACAAGTGGCCAAGGGCAGAGTACATGGCATGCAGGATGTTTTCTTCCACATTAGACATTGTTTAAAATCGCTCTGGCCATGACCCCAGGGCCCCTTATCCACCGCATCCCTGTTCAACCAGCTTCTGATCGCCCACCTGGTTTTTCTCCCCAGGTGAGCCTGGCCACCCTTGACACCGAAGTCCCCCTGACCTTGGCCTTGAACCTCTCACATCTGGGCCAGTCGGAGCATATCCTGGAGCTGCGCCCAGCTCTGGAGGGCCTGGGAGGCTGGGTGCACTACGTCATTGCTCACGGCAACAAGCGAGGTTTCTTCCGCATGCATCACCTGGGCAGCCTCAGCTCCCTGCAGCTGGGACGACGGAGGCCCAGGCCTGGAACGTACCGGCTGGAGGTGGTGAGCGTAGCAGGGCCCCGGGGTGTCTGGCCAGGTTCGGTGGGCCGGGCCTTGCGGCTGAAAGTGCAATTGCAGCTGCTCTAGTTGGGAAGAGCCTCCATGGGCCCCAAGCTCCTGGGCCACCCAAAGGTGGACACTCTGGAACTGGAAGGATTGGTCCCCAGCAGCAGCAGCTGACCAGGTCAAATCCTGAAACTCAGGAAGAGAGGAACGCTACACTTTGACCTCAGATGGGTCCAGGCACAGGCTGGACCTCTGTGCCAGCCAGGGGACCCCAGTACTCAGTCTTTCCTGGAGACAGCTGGACGCTGTTGTGTGTACCTCCCCCCCCCCCAACAGCCAGGGTCAGTGGGGKCCCAGTGGTCACTGTTTCTGGTCAATCTCAGGCTTAAACTTCTGTATTGCACTGTGGCCTCCCCCGCCGGGGGGTTGGTGGGATATGGGAATGGGTTGCTGGAGTGGGCATGGGCTCATCCTTTAGAGCAAAGAGAGGAGCCCTGACTGCTTGGAGTTCATGGCAGCCAGTGATTAATCATTCCCCTGGGGCCTGGGCTGGGTGTGAAGGATGCTTTTATATCAAAAGTGGAAACAACAATAAAGTTATTTTGGGTTAAATCTGCCTGCCTCTTTGGTAAGTTCTCACATAAGGAGATGCTGTCCTCGGCAGAGCCACATAAAGCTCCTACCTGGGAGAGCCAGAGGGGACCTCTGCAGCCCCAGAGAGGCCCAGGTTTGGGAAAGGATGGGCTTTGTCCCAGGACCCAGGAGAAAATGTAGTGAGAATCTTGCAGGAAGGGTTCCCCCAACCTCAGGCCTGTGCATCTGGCACAAACCCAGAGCCAGGCTGTGAGTGGCAGCCCTTCCAGGTTCCTCAGTCGTGAGGATGATGGCTCACAGTCTGTACTGCATGCCCACACTGTTCTAAGTACTTTACAAATATGAACGACTTTATCGTCACTAGAACCCCGCGGAATGGTAGTATGATCGGCCTCGTTTTACAGAGGGGAAAGCTGAGGCTCAGAAGTTATGCAACGGTGGCCCAGGTCAGGCCAGACTGAAAGTCAGGGAGCTGTGCCAGCACCTGCATTGTCCACCACCATGCTGTCCTGTGAACTTGGCCTCAGTGACAGAAAAGAAATCAACTAGTGAGAATGCAAATAGGCAACCTTTACAGGGAAAGCTCGCTGGCTCCCTGGGACCAAAGAAAGGACTTACTGGCGGCTCCAAGGGGTGGGCTGGGGCTTAGGAATGTTAATTGGCTTCAGGTGCACTTCGACCTGTGTGGGTGCTTGAACCCCAGATCCTTGCCCTGTGATAAGAACGTTAAACGAAAGGGCAAGTGGCAGGTTGATGGCCCTGAGAATCCGCCATTTGGTGTGTCAGCAGCTTCACCCTCAGCACTGAAGGGTGGTGGTGAGCGCACCCAGCTCTCATCATGCACCTGGTCTTTAAAGCCAGCAGGACTGTTTTAGGGTGGGCCAACGGGGCAGGTTTGGTGTTTGACAAACTGTGAGTTAAGGTGAAATCTTTAAATGGCTGTCAGGCTGTGAACCAAGCCCAGGAGTGCACGTGCCTTTTTCCCTGTGGTGGTCCCTGACTCCTGGCTCTGGGTTGGACTTGGCTCCGTGGAAATCTGAGGGGGAGCTCAATGGCCAGGATGGTCACCTCCTTACTGAATGGTTGGTGCATGCCAAGCACTGCGCCCGMGGGCACAGTCGTGTATTTGATCCCTAGCAACCCGCCCCCCAGGCAGGCAGTATTATCAGCCTCGTCCTCTGGGGGCATAGGGCAGGAGGGACCGAGGCTTAGAGAAGGCCTTCCTGGGTCACCCATAYGGTGTGGGGTGGGGCCCCAAACCACCAGCATGTCGTCTACAGAGGATATACTTGGCTTGCATCTGGGACATTCTCGGTTGTGATGGAAACTTAGGCTATTAAGGATTGGGAACAGTTCAGCCAGGTGTCTCAAACCTCYGCCTGCAGAGCCGTCTCAAGTGCCTGGCCCCAGGGCACTCTCCTTGCCCAGGTCCTGACCCACTGGCCCCTGGGCAGCCTACGACAGCCTGTAGAGGGCTTTTCTGACCTTCCACACCCCCCAGTCCCAGAGTCTAGGCAGAGCAAACACAATGATCCCTACTTCACAGGCAAACAAAGCGGCACCAAGAGAGCCAGCAGCTGGCCCAAGGTCACCATTTGGGAAGTGCAGGTCGCATCCCACCTGTCCAGTGCTCAGCCCCTCAGGACCCACTTGTCACGAAGGCTGGGGCCACAGATCTTAAAATGAAAAGTGACAGGGAAAACAATGACATTTTTTTTTTTTTTACCAAAAGTTTATTTGAAATTATTTTAAAAGCTTAGACTGGGAGGATGTTTTTTGTACCCATCAAAACTTTGCAAGGACCTGGAGGGACACAGTAGGTGGCCTGGGGTGAATGGCAAGAAGCTGCAGGTGGGTGACATAGTCCAAAAGAATCTTGTCTCCAAGAACCTTTGCCCAAGGTTGGTACTTATCCCAGAGTAGAAAGGAGCTGTCCCTCTTCCCAGCTGCCCAAGGGGCAGGAGGTGGTAGGAATAGAAAGGAGCAAACCAATCCGGGCACAGGGGCTAGGATTGGGGCTGAAGGACGAGGGGCAGAGGCAGCTGGGGCTGCAGGGTGACCGCTGGTGGAGCGAGATCCCTCCGGCCTGGCCTCTGTCCTGCTGTTGGATCCTGGAGATGCGCAGGCTCACGGCCCTGCAGGAGGGATTAGAGGTGGGACTGCAGTGGCCTCGGGGGCTGTAAAATAATAAGAAATACACTTACCAGTCTCTGCCTGGCACCTAGTTCCTCAGAGCCTTGTAATGTGAGCAATAAGGACGTGAGGAGCATCTTTTGTTCTAACATTTGGTCTTTGACCCCGAGATTCCTGACACACAGCTAATAAATCCCTTGGAATTTCCTGGGCAATAGAATAGGATCCTCTTTTGTTCCGATGAGGGGACTCTTAGATGGCGGCTGGTCACAAGAAAGATCAAGCGTGATTCGAAGCGGGGAGGGGGAGCTTCTGCTCCAAGTCTCCCTCTCCAGAGAGGGGGAGAAGGGTTGGCAGGGAAGTTAATAATCCCTCATTCCTGTGTGACAAAGCCTCCATAAAACCCCCTGAACTCTGGGGCTCAGGGAGTTTCTGGGTTGGTGAACACATCGTGTGCTGGGAGAGTGGTGCATCCCAACTCCAAGAGGATGAGAACTCCTGTGCTTGGGACCCTTCCAGACTTTGCTGACGACTGTCCTTCATCTGGCTGTACCCCAGGTCCTCTGTAACGTCCCTTATAATAAACTGCTAAATATGTTTCCCTGAGTCCTGGGAGTGGATCTAGCAAATGATTGAACCCAAGGAGACAGACACGGGATCCCCAGTTTATAAGCTGATTGGTCAAAGTGGAGGTGGCAACCTACTGACCATGTACTACATACCAGACACTGCAAATTACAATTGTCTCTGCAACTCAATGGAATGCAGTGTCATCGACCCCCATTTTATGGTTGGCAAAACTGAGGCTCAGAGAGGTTACATCTTAATGGGGACAGTCTTGTGGGACAGAGATCCTTCCCCTGTGGCGACTGTCACAGTCTCCAGTTGCTTGGATTGTGCTGCCCCTTCACATCTGTCATCAGAGTGTTGTGTAGAGTGGTTGTTTTCTCATCTTATGGGGGCCCAGGAGCTCTTGGTCCACCTCCCTGGCCTTTCAATTCAGCTCTTATCAATGCCCCACCTGGCTAGGCTGGGGCTGTGGGTAGCCACTGAGGACCTTCCTGTGTGGATCTGCAGGGCTGACCACATAGCCAGCCCTCCTTGGTCCTGTAGGCAAACGTCCTGCCCGAGTCTGGACCCATCATGAGCCTTCAGCCATAAGCCTTCAACCCTCAGTAACAGATGGAGGAAGCCATGTGACTAGTCCTCACCTGGATTAGATTAGGGAAGCATTTCTTTTGCTGCTGCTGTTGCTGCTGCTGCTGCTGCTGCTGCTGCTGCTGCTGCTATTGTTACTGCTGAGATACTTTGGCCTGGACGATGGTCGCCGGGATTTCTTCCTCCCAGCCTGAGAGTCTATCCACAAGGAGAGAGAGAGAGAGAGAGAGAGAGAGAGAAGAGGAGCTTCATCAACAGCCTCTGAACCTCTGGATGCAGCCAAGCCTGAAGCCACAGCTGGTTATTTGAGCCCCTGACTTTCCCCTTTGCTTGAACTTTCCGTGTGCTTCAATTTAGCACTCTGACTTTAAAAGAGCTAGATGATGACCTGGGGGGTTGATCACTCAGTCCATCCCTCGCTCATCAGGAATGAGCTCTCTCTGGAGCAGGGGCAGCTGCCAGAACGTGGAGCTCTGATTCTCTCCCTCAGAGACTGAGAAGCAAAGGGGCCTACAGACAGGGGGCGAGGGCTCCCTGGAAGCTAGGCTGGGGCCTCACCCACCTTGGATGGTTAGCCGGTTGTCAGACCTCTGGGAGACCAATGTCATTGCCTTCTGTACCCTGATGTCCCGTGGGTTCCCACACACCATTTTACCTGGTTGGCGGAAGTAGAATCTGCAGTGGGTGGGGAAGGGGTGCCCACGTTAGGGTGGTAGGGGCAGCAAAGCTGTGTGTGTTCCCCACTCCCATCCCACGGCCCCACTCACATGATGGCAAACAGGTTGCAGCTGCCGCTCACCTCCTGGATCCGGTAAAACCTGGCGCGACGGAGCACAGCCAACTTGGGTTTGGGGTAGTAACCCAGACAGCAGTCCTCAAAGGACCCTGCAATCACACGGCCACCCACATGCTCAAACCCGCACCCGGGCACTGGCAGGGACAGTCACAGACGTGGAAACGCACACCATGACCCTTGCAGCCCCGACCGAGGCAGACGCACTGCCTGACTGCCTCTCAGCCTTTGCCACTGGGACAGCTGGCAGGGGTTGGTGGGGTCCATGGGCCCTGCTTGGAAAGGAGCAGACCACCCAAGAAACAGCCCAAAGCTGCTTCTCTGCTCTGGGAGCACAGGCGCAGACCCTGAGGAGGGAAGACAGGCTCAGAGCGGTGGCATCTTAATGGAGGGCAGCCTTGTGGGACAGAGAGCCTTCACCTATGGCATCTGACACAATCTTGAGTTGTTTGGTTTGTGCTGCCCCTTCACATTTGGCACCAGAAGTGTAGTGTCCCCAGTGCCACTCTCCTAAAAATGAGGTTGGTTAGCTCCTGCCGAGGTCCTGGATCCTCTCCAGGCTGGTCTGTCTCCACATGGAACTAGCTCTGATCCCTCTTCCTTTCTGTCCCCATCAGTGACCACTCAAGTGACCCAGCCAGACACTAGGAGTTCTAGAGGGTTTACTTGTAGGATCTCATAAAAACACTTAAAGAGTTCCCACTATGTGCCAAATACCCAAACGGAGAAGAGCTGGAATTAATGTTGTCTTGGGAGCTCCCGGCGTGGTGGGAGACAGGAAGTTGACATTTGTGGGGAGGGGGACAACACAGCACGGGGATGCCTGAAGAGGAGGTAACGATGCTTGAAAGATCTGGGCAGAGGAGCAGATGGAATGAATGAGAAGAAGAGRGGGCGATGGGATGGTGGCGGAAGCCAAGGTGGGCTCTTTCGCCCAGTCCGTCTTGGAGGTCCTGCAATCCACCTCTGCCAGAGCCCACCTGAGTCGGGGTCCTGGCAGAGCAGAGCACAGCAGCGGAGGAGCAGGGGGAGGGCTCAGTTCTCTTTGTATTCCCCACCCTGTCCCTGAAGACAAGGAGCAGTGGTGTTAGATAGGACCTGCGGCTCCAGTGATCTTCAGCAGGTGGCTCCCAATGCTGGGGGCCACTGCCCCCTCCCCCAGGATCAAAGAGCAGGTGCTGGGCCTGGCTCTGATAGCAGAACAATGGGAACAAAGACCAGCCTTCCTCCTGGGCAAAGGCTAAGCTCTGCTGGGTCCTGCCAGACCTAGAATGGGGACAGGCAGAGCAGGAGGGTGGGGCCATGCTCCTCCACCCTGCTTGGCCCCTGCTTGGCCATCTGGGAGGACTCACTGGCCTTGCCACAGGAATGTAGGAGCCYGTCTCAGGGATCCTGGGGGAGTCTGCATGCTTCCATCTGGCCTTTGGTGACCAAAATCCTCAAGTGCCTACTCTGGGGTGGAGACAGGGAGGAAGACAGAAGGGCTCCCGTTAACAACAACAATGGCTCCCTCACTGGGGCTGCTGGGCACTGGATCCTCTCACCTGCTCCAGGCGATGGGAACTTCAGATTCCCACCTCACAGACGAGAAAACCAAAGCTCACAGAGGCTGAGTGGCAATTCTCAGCTGCACTGCACAGGTAAGCTGGGCAGGGCCCCGATGGGAAACCACTTCCCAAGGTCTGCAGGGCTCTGGTCTCCAACCCCATCCCTGGCTCTGCAGAGTCAGGACATTGAGGTGTATTCCTGGCTGCAAGTGGCTTTACCCACAGCTGGAAGCCACCCTCTRCTCCCACATTCCCTAGGCCACTGCAGTCCTGCAAAGGAGGTACCCAGGGGTGGAGGACTCTGGAAGAAGGAGCTGGGGACCCTCTGTCTCCCTTGATCCCAGGGCACAAACACCAGGAATCTCTGCTATGTTGGGAACAGGAGCCACAGGAGAATTCAGTGGTGGTAAGGGATCTGGAGGAGGAGAGGGGTAAACGGACGGACAGGGGACGGTGAGGCTAGATAGAGAAAGGAGGGACCAGGGGCGTAGGGTAAGTACAGTTGACCGAATACAGTACCTTGGGTGTGGATGGGAGGGACCCAGGCCCCCAAAAAGCAGGCTGCCAGGCTGGCAAGGATCCAAGGGTTCATGGTGCAGGCAGGACCTCCTCTCTGGGCACTTCAAGGATAGACAGAGTGGCCTGGGGAGGTGGAGAGGGACGATAAGGACCCAAGGAAGACAGCAGCAGGCACAGCCGAGGCCCAGGGCCTTCTGCAAGAGAAGCAGGTGACTCAGGATAGGGACAAGCTGAGCAGAAGGGACCTGCTGCTGCTCTCAGTCATGGCCAGACCAACGACTCACCAATGCCTATGGGGTCCCAGAGCCAGGGCCTCCTGGGGTGGGTGTGCTGTGTGTGGGGTTAGGCAGCTGAGCTTCTCTCTTATAGGTAGAGCCCCACCCCACAACCTCTGGCCCTCCCTCCCTCCTCCCTCCCTGCCTCATCCCACATGCTCGGTGAGACTCCAGGGTTCTCCCTCACTATAGATAGACCAAGCCTAACTTCCACCTGGCTCCTCTCAAAGTCTGGCTGCCCTAGGAACCTCCTCCATCCCAGGCCTCTGGGCCAGCAAACTTGCACTGTCCCCAAAGGGTCCTTTGTCTTCTCCTGTCCCCTCACCTGCACACCCGGGCAGCCTGCACACAAGCCTCAGCTGATAGAGCCTCCAAAGAAAGCCTTTCCCTGGCTGCCTACTCCCAGGTAGAGGAGGGACCTGAACTTCACCCGTCTCCCCCTCCTGCACAGTGGGGCAATTTATATGTCACAGATATGCTGTGGGTTTGCCATAGGCAAATCCATAGAAACAGAAAGTAGATTAGTAGTGGCCATGGGCTGGGGTGGGGGGGGGTGGCTGCTCAAGGTGCATCTTTTTGTTCTGAAATCAGATAGTGGCAATGATTGACTAAGTCTAATGAACACCACCGAAAGGTACACTTTCAATGGAGAAGTGAATGACCTGTGAATTTTCTCCAATAGTATTTTAAGAATAATCTCGATAAACTGGAAATGTGGTGCACGGCTGTATTTCCAGCGACGTGGGAGAATGAAGCAGGGGGCTAGCCTTGAACTGGCGTGAGCCTTTCTCCAAATAAAAACTGAAAAGGGCTGAGGGTAGAGTTCAGAGGGAGAGCGCCCCTGGGTTCAATCCCCTTACCCAGCGGGGATGGCAGGGGTGGGGTGGGGTAGAAGTAAACAAAGACCACGGAGATGAAGAAGAGCCCAATAAACTTATTAGTAACCACAACCACGAAGAAACACTCTGGTTTGAAAGCAAAGCCAGGAGCCGCAGGTAACCATGACAACGGGAAGCAAAGCAACCTTCACCTGCAACGGAGGCCAGGGGCCCGGGAAGGAGCGGAGCCGGACACTTCACATAGCATTGCTTTTCTTTTTCTTTTTCTTTTCTTTTTTTCTTTTTTCTTTTTTCTTTTTTTAATGGCCCGCAAGTTTATCCTTCTCTTTTTTTTTTTTTTTGCGGTGCTTGAGGATGGAACCCACTGCCTTGCGCACGCTAGCCAAACGCTCCACCACCGAGCTATTCACCCAGCCTCCGTTTCTCGGGCTCTGCGGGGTGGGGGTGGGGGTGTGGGGGTGTGGGGGGGTCCCTCGTGGTGGCCCTGGGCTCGCCGCCCTGCAGCTGGGTGGGGAGAGACTTTTAGTTGGGGGCGGGAGTTACACGGGGCTTAGAGTCTGGCGGGTGGGGCTTGGCCGTGGGGCGGGGCTGACGGGTTCAGTTCTTCCCCCTCAGCTCCCTGCAGCCCTGCCGTCYGTCGCTGCCGCAGGTGTACCTCCTGCGCCCTCCTGCTGCTCAGGTTCCTTTCTTTGGGTGGGTGATGCTAGGCGGGGACGCGGCTCCGCGTGGCTGCGGGCTTGGGACGCGGCGTGGCGGGCCAGGGCTGGCCTACCCGCTATGGCTCACTGCCCTCCTACCTGCGCCTTTGTCGGGCAGGGATCTGGCGTGACCCAGACTGGGCGGGAGGTCCCTGGAATGTGAGCCCACCTTCCCAACCTACCCTCAGGGTTGGTCCCACCAGCAGCCTTCATGGGAAGGAGGGGGACGGAGGGAGGGGKTCCCCTGAGGGACCAGGATGCAGGTTACACAGGGCTGTGCACGCGCCCGAACCCAAGGGTCATGGTGGGAGACAAGCTGTTCAAGAAGAGGCTCTGAACTAAAGCTTTGGAGTTCTGAGAAGTTCTGATAAATGTGAAGGCCAGATCTTTGCAGACAGGGCTGAATGTTGTGGTAGGTCGCCCCTCTCCCATCTCTACCTTTTCTGGATGCCAAACTAGTATCAACAGAGAGCCTTCTCTGAAAGTGTGAAATGAAAACAGATGGGGTTGGAGTGGGGCACAATCTCCACCCTTCTGGCTTCTGGTCATCGGCTGTAATGATGGGGGAAAGTGGAAAGTCTCCAACTGCAGCTCAACCAAAGTCAGGTACTGACCACATCCTAGAGCCTGGTAGGGTTCTTCTACAAGCTGAGCCAAGGGCAACCGCCAGGTGGRGGGGGGGGGGCTGGGCTCAACTCTGGAAATATTCCTTGCCCAGAGAAGGGCACCTCTAGTGTGTGCACACAGATGGAAGAGTCAGATGTACAGAGGAGAAGACTGAGGGTCAGGGAGGCCATGTCATTTACCTTTTTTTTTTTTTTAATACCATGAAGGAAAGTGTGACAGTCCCCTAATGCTGGAGGGCTCAGAGCAGGAGCTTGATCATCATTGGCAAAGATGGAGGGGCACTGGGTGAATGCTCCAGGTTGAAGTGAGTCCTTGCTTTTACATATCAGACGCTGGCTGCCCACAGCTCTCCTGAAGCTCTGGTGCCTCCAAATCCCTGGGTGTCCTCTGGGAGTCTTGGCTCTAGTGGTCTCTGAGAGAAGCAGCTGGAGGCCCTCTCCCACACTATCTGTGCATCTCATAGGGGCTTATGATACCAGGTGCCTGTCTGCCAGGTGTGGCCAAAGCAGTCTCTTTTTTTAAAAAAAGAATTTGTTCAYTTGAGAACTGTTCTTCTTCTTTTTGGTACCAGGGACCAAACTCAGGGGCACTTGACCACTAAGACACATCCCCAGCCTATTTTGTATTTTATTTAGAGACAGGGTCTTGCTTTTGCTGAGGCTGGCTTTGAACTCATGATACTCCTGCCTCAGTCTCCTGAGCCACTGGGATTACAGGCGTGCACCTCCATGCCTGGTGTTTGTTTGTTTGTTTGTTTTTTTCTTTTTGATGCTGGAGATTGAATTCAGGAGCACTCAACCACTGAGTCACATCCCCAGCTAAGTTGCTTAGGCCTTGAAAAATTGCTGAGGCTGGCTTTGAATCCTTGATCCTCCTGCTTCAGCCTCTRGAGCCACTGGGATTACAGGCATGTGCCACCACGCTCAGCTTGATTTTAAATTTCCCTTTTAATCTCCTCATTGATCCATTGATTATTCAAAAGTGTGTTGTTCACTTATTATTGAAATTCCTCCTAATAGTGCTTTCTAATCCCATACTATGGTGGATGGAAAAGATACTTAAACTGATTTCAATCTTAAATGTGTTGAGACTTGTTTTTTGCCTAACATATGATCTACCCTGGGGAATGTTCAATGTGCACTTGAGAAGAAGGGGTATTTTGCACCATTGGATGGAATGTTCTCTACATGTTAATGAGGCCCACTTGGTCTAGAGTGTGGCTCCAGTYTAATGTCTCAGTATTGATTTTCTGTCTGGATGATATGTTCATTGCTGAAAGTGGGACATTGAACTCCCCTGCTTTTGTTATATTGGAGTCTATCTCTCCCTTCAGTTGTATTAATATTTGCTTTATATATTTAGGCGTTCTGATGTTGAGTGCAGCTATATTTACCACTGTTAAATCCTTTTGATGAATTGACCCCTTTATCATTATGTAATAATCTTTGTCTCACTTTGCAGGGTTTGGCTTAAAATCTATTTTATCTGATATGAGCATAGCCACCCCTGCTCTCTTTTGGCTTCCATTTGCAAGGAATATCTTTTTCCATCCCTTCACTTTCAGTCTATGTATGTCCTGAAACCAGCTGCCTCTTGCTCTGGTCTGGATGCACGGTGGTTGCCTGGCAACTAGAGGAGGGGAAGAAAATAGGATGCTCTGTAAGCCCCTGGCCTGATGCTCAGGGACCTGGTTTATGGACAGTCTGTGTGACCCCTTTAGCTATGTCCTCAATGCAGTCAGCCCTGCTGCCTCCTGGAAGTCTGGCTTCAAGGGACTTCCTGCCCTAGGCTGACAGGTGGCCTATTTCAGGAACAGCTGCAGCAATGGCCTTGGGCACAGGCCACGGGACGACCAGCCAGAGGGATTCAGACTACCAGCACCGGTCCTGGCCATAGACCAAGTCCTCGTATCTTTCCTGCTTCTGCCATGTGTGTGGATGAACATCAGGGAAGGGTGACTGCCTGACGTGCTGACATTGAGGCTGGGGCTGGGATGGCATAGGGGAGGATGTGGAGGATGGTGGGCCCCKAGGAGAGGGTTCCATGGAGCCCTGAGTCCCTCTTTGAAGCTGCTGAGGTCTGCTTCCCTGATGAGACAGGTTTTCTGCGCATCTCTCAGGCAGGCAAGTGGGTGTGTCACAGCCATCACAGATGAGGGAGATGTCATTAACTCCTCATTAATCACCTGTTGGAGGTCATTTGATATTTCACTCATTCAACAAACACTCAGCACCTACTGTGTGCCAGGCATGGGGCTGGGGGCTTAGCCAACCTTAAGTTGACAGGGCCAATCTAGTCTTCCAAATGATTTTTTTTTTTAAGATAGTGTCTTGCTGTGCTGCCCAGGCTGGTGTTATGGTTTGGATCTTACTGTCCTCYCAAAGGCCATGTGCTAAAGGTTGGTCCCCAGTTGATGGCACTGTTGGAAGATGGAGGAAAYATTAGGAGGTGGGACCTAGTTGAAGAGAGGTCACTGGAGGTATATTGTGTCCCCTGCCTCTTCCTCGCTGTCTCTCTGCTTCCTGGTTGCCACTAGGACATCTTCCCTCCTTCATGCCCTTCCACCATGAGGTTTTGCCTCCCTCAGGCCCAAAGCAATGGAGCCAGCAGAGCATTGGCTGAAAGCTCTGAAAC